GCTTGAGAAAGCCGATGTACTGTTTCACTGAGATCAACCACAGCAAACAAGCTTCGAGAAGATCAAGGAACTTGTCTCACAATCACCAGTCCTACAGTATTATGATGTGACCAAACCGGTAACAATTCAGTGTGATGCAAGTGGCAAAGGATTAGGTGCAGTGTTATTACAAGAGGGAAAGCCTGTATGTTATGCTTCTCGAGCTCTTACGGACACTGAGAGCAGATATGCCTCCATCGAAGCCGAAATGCTTGCAGTGGTCTTCGCCTGTCGTAAGTTCCATCAGTACATATATGGAAGAATTGTGGTTGTCGAGACAGACCATAAACCACTACAAGCAATCAGCAGCAAACCGTTGTCGCAGGTTCCGTTGCGACTTCAGAAGATGATTCTTAACGTGCGTGGACACGACGTGAAGATACGTTATGTTCCTGGCTGTAAACAAGTATTAGCTGACACTCTGAGTCGAGCATCGTTGCCAAATACTGAACAGGAAAATTACGAAGAATTCCAGGAAGTTAATATGGTTCTTGCGGTTTCTGACGAGCGATATGAGGAATTCCAGAAGGAGACCAAAACCGATCCAGAGCTACAAGCAGTCCTTACGTTAGTGAAGAGTGGTTGGCCGGACACGAAACAACAAGTTCCCGTTGAAGCCAGACCTTACTGGACTTTCAGAGATGAAGTTGTAACGGCAGATGTGTTGCTCTTCAAAGGAACACGCCTAATCGTGCCAAGAGTTCTTAGATCAGATATGCTTTGTCAAATCCACAAGAGTCATTTGGGGATAGTCAAATGCAGACAAAGAGCCAGAGATGTATTGTTTTGGCCTGGCATGTCATGTCATTACACGTTGAAGAAATGGTTACCAATTGTTGCGTGTGTGCAGATTATGCGAATAAGCAGCCTTCAGAACCTTTGAAACCAATCGTTCCTCCAAAGTTTCCGTGGGAAAAGTTAGGAACCGACCTATTTGAATTTCGTGGAGAACATTTTTTGGTTTCTGTGTGTTACCGTAGTAAGTTTCCAGAGGTTACCAAGATGGAATCGACAAGAAGTAGTGCTGTCGTAGACGAGCTCAAATGCCAATTCTGTGTCCATGGAATTCCGAGGTCATTTCTGATAATGGGCCCCAATACAGTAGTCGCGAGTTCCAAGAATTCGCAAAAGAGTATGGTTTTAAACATACGACCAGCTCACCTCACTTCCCGAGAGCAAACGGAGAAGCAGAAAGAGCCATCCAAACTATTAAGAATTTGTGGCGAAAGAGTAATGATAAGTACTTGGCCCTACTTCACTATCGAACAACGCCGTTACCTAATATCGAACTGTCTCCTGCCCAACTACTTATGGGACGTCGATTGCGAAATGACCTGCCGGTGATGGAAAGTCTACTTCAACCAGCTAACAACAGCCCACAACGTATTTCCAAATATTTAATGAAGACAAAAGAAGACCAGAAGAAGTACCACGACAAGCATGCAAGTAAGGAGTTGAAAGAACTTCAGCCTGGAGCTAAAGTCCGGTTAGAACCGTGGACGTATTCCAAAGAATGGAAACCAGCGACGGTAGTGAGGCATCACCATACGCCAAGATCATATGTGGTGCAAACCGAGGACGGAAGAAAGTATCGCCGCAATCGACAGCATTTGAGAGTTTGCCCAGCTCTTGGATCTGACAGCAACGACCAAACCATTGCTCCAGTAGTTGACAAAGAAATGTCATCTCCCGAGAAGGCAGATCCACTATCCGTTGGTGCCGACCAATCCACTGCTTTATCGATCGTGAATCCAGATCCCTTACCCTTACCCTTACCAGAAATGTTCCCACCACCTGGACCACCAGCCGAAACCACCAGCCCGTACGTTACCAGAAGTGGTCGATTAGTGGTGAAACCCAAACGATTTGGGTGGTAAAGTTAGAAACACTATTTGACATTAAATTTAGTTATTTTGAATTTATAAGTTTAATGAACTTATATTCCTATGTTTTATATTCGAACTTTGCTTTATCTAGAACATTTAACATTTTGTCTTAGCAACTTGAACTTTAATTTATTTAGAATTTAGGCTATTATTAAAAAGGGAAAGATGTGATATAATTAGCATAAGCATACTCTGCCCACCCGGGTAAGTATATTTGTAACATATTTATGTTTGAATAATTAATATCTTTTTGTGTTGTGATTGTCAGCCATCTTGAATGAATGTCTTTATTTTATAGGGTTGATATTATTAAAAGAAACGAACAAACCAGTTTATATTTGGGGCCCTGGAATGCTGAAATTGCGGAACGTGTTAAATAATTAACAATTATTGGATGAGATTTTTGTGATATGCGGAATTATCAAGGTCGAGGTAAGCTGATAACGCTTAATAATAATAATAATAATAATAATAATAATAATGAAAACTTTATTAAGAGAACATTTATAGATATATACAATTGCAAATCTCACTTCTTGAGGTAACCTACAATTGACTACTTGAATCACTTATACATGCATGGTTATAATTTTATATACAAAAATTGTTAATTATTTATAGAAATAGTTACTTTAAATGTTCATTAGTTCGGGATTTGTCCATTCTTTATTTCTACAGCAAAATATGTAGTACGTTGATCGGATGGCAATAAATATAATTTTTCTGATACAATATTGTTGCTGTTGATTACCCAGTCCTAACTCATTTAGGATTTTTACGAATGTATGACATTCTTTGTCAAACACCCCTAGCGAACTGACAGAAAGATTTATAAATTTAACAGATGTAAAGTTTTGATCCAGTTCTCCAATTAGGTTTTATATATAGCTTTCTTGCGGTTAACATTGTTTGTGAGGTTTGATTCAAAGCCTACGGTAAGTTCAACGACGTAGAGGTGTTTGTCTGAAGTGGAGACAAGTAATAATAATAATAATAATAATAATAATATAATAATAATCTGTTTAATTAATCACATTGCAGTAGAGACTGAATTACATGATTATAAGTAAATACATTAAAAATTAAATTTACAGATAAAATTGAGTTCAAACCGTTCAATGTTCGTTCTGAATAGTCAGTTTAAATCTGTCCACAAATTATAATTGGGTACCTGAATATACACGAGTACTACTAAATCAATAATACATTAATAATTATATTTAACAGTTATAAAATTTTGAAACCGTTCTGTGCTCGTTTGGAGTGACCAGCTTGATTCGGACCTAAGATTATAATTATGAGTAGTTGGATGTATACGAGTTGCAACAACATCCTTAAGAGGATTTATAGGACCATTGTCAAGCTTCAATTTCCGGATAAATTGTTGAAAAAAGAAAGCAGAAAGCTCTAGTGTGTGCCGGGCTTAAGTGAAACAAAAATTATGATTGAACAGCGGTTAATGCTTCGATGCTTTCAACTATTCAACTGCAATCAGGGACATAGCGAGAGGGGGTGTAGAGGGGGTGTAACCCCCCCCCCCGCCATAATAGTTGTTCATGAGTACTTTCCAGGTGATTCTTTCTGATTTTCAGGTTAATTACAACAGCATTGACTGGCGCTAATAACAAATTTTAGTTGCATTTCTGGCCTTGAGACCATAACATACCTATACAACCCTGATCGAACAAACGATAGGGACTGATCGAACAAACGATAAATTCCTTACAATGGAAACTACATACATTTAGATTTACAATGGCAATTCCTAGAACAGATATTCCCCTGAATATCTGAATAATGCAGAATAGGGGTGGGTGAGTGGGGACAAGTAGCACCTCCTGCCCTTTCATATAAGGAAGCAATGAAAGGTGGGCAAAAGTGCCGTTTTAATATAAGACAAAAATTTTTGATACCAAAATTCTTGGTATAAAATTCTTGATGTAAAATTCTTGATACAAAATTCTTGGTATAAAATTCTTGATACCGCCAGTCAGTGTGCCCAGAAACTGCCAGAAATGTCAAGGAAGCACCCTCCAGTTCTACCATTACTTCCACTATCACTACCATTAATTACGGGATCATTAACCAATCACATGCGTTTAATCCACTCAATTAACCAATCACATGCGTACATGCGTAGCGGCAGTGGTAGTGGAAGTCAAATCTAAACCTCAATGATAACTCTCGTCAAGCAATTCAGCAAGGACAAACTTTCAGTTTTTAGTTTCTCCTCTACATCGTCATTATTTACGAATTGTTGAAGAACTTCTCTTGTTTTCTTTAAATCAAACAAACACAGCTCAGGCGAGTTGTACATACGTTCCTTGGCTTTGAAAATGTTAGAAGTATCAGCTTCTTGAGACAGTGAGTTATTTTCCATTATCAGAGCCAATTGTTGATATTGTTCTTGGAAATTTGTATTTTCTGCGAACTGTATTTTTAGGAAGTGAAGTCTTGCGTAAGAAATCCAGCAAAGAAATTTAAAGAATATTGGGAAATTGATTCCACTGTTTGCTTCTAGTATGATCTGCAAAAGACACAATCCCGGTTTATAATAAAATATAGCGAATTAAACGTTAGCAACCAACCCAGTAACAAACAAACAAACAAACAAACAAACAAACAAACAAACAAACAAACAAACAAACAAACAAACAAACAAGCAAGCAAGCAAGCAAGCAAGCAAGCAAGCAAGCAAGCAAGCAAGCAAGCAAACAAACAAACAAACAAACAAGCAAGCAAGCAAGCAAACAAACAAACAAACAAACAAACAAACAAACAAACAAACAAACAAACAAACAAACAAACAAACAAACAAACAAACAAACAAACAAACAAACAAACAAACAAACAAACAAACAAACAAACAAATAAACAAACAAATAATTAAACAAGAAACGGGTAAAAACATTGTAGCCGGCAACCAAACGAATTATTCATCGATCTTAATTAAGTAATTATATTGTACATTTTTGTTTCAGTTCTTTATAAGTTATATAAGGCCTGTTTCAAACGTCGCTCTTCTCATGTCCCGAACGCATTAAAACAATAGATAATCAGCTAAAATGCCTCATTATCCATTGTTTCTAACGCGTTCCGCACATGAGAAACGCAACAGGCCTAAGTGTCTTTGAAACAGGCCTAAGTGTCTCCGTTAAACCTCTCGCCTTCGGCTCGAGTTGGTATGCCAGATACAACATGTAGGCTGCTCATGGTGTATATATTACTTTCAGTTGTATTGTACTGCTTCTATATAGATTCGATGTACGTAGTACGACGTTATATCTTAAAGGACATTGGCAATAAAAATTTTTATTGCTTTATCTGAAAAAGCATGTAAAAATAAGCCAATTGGCCGTTTACTGCTCTAGTCTATCTCATCTGGTTCCGAAGTTATACGCAAAAATGTGCAAAATATAAATTGCTGATTCAGCACAACGTGTGACGTCATTGGTTGGGTAAGTATGTTTATTGAATAGTAAACTGAAGCATAGCTCAGTTATTATTGGCTCAAATCAAATGAAATTTTGTATACAGATAGTACATGATGAGACGCATGGGAAAATACTTCTAATTTAGTTGTTAAGGCAACACAGTCGTTCCCAGGCCCCTTACACTGATTTTGAATAACTAGTTGCATTTATCTATGTGTATGTCATTTTCGAATTATTATCATGCAAGTAAACTTTTGGCATGCATAGGTATGGTACACATACTTCTGATATTATTTTAACCTTATCAGAAACATGAATAAAGCTGTTTTATAAAATTGGCGCAAGGGGCCTGGGAACGACATTGTTACCTTGGCAACAAAATTGGAAGTGTTTTTCAATGCGTCTCATCATGTACAATCAGTATGCAAAATTTCATTTGATTTGGGTCCATAATAACTGAGATATGCTTCAGTTTA